ATTTGATAGTGATAGTTCTTGGAATAGCGATAGTACTATATGATGCAAATACCCCACGCCGGGTACATTGGATAAACTTTTATACCCTGGTAACGTTTTTTTGATCGGGTACTATCGCTATGAATATTATTTTAAATAGATTTTAAGAAATTAAAATAATTTTTTTTTTTTTTTTTTGATAAACAAGTAAATGTTTAAGTTACATGAAAACTAAAACTAGTTATTCATATAAGAAAAAAAAACTAATTAGCTTAACCTAGATAATGAATAATATAGTTACAATAATATTCCTGCACGTAAAATGTAATTTTATCATAAAACTCATTTAATCGAACCTCATATCTAGGTAATTGATTATGGTAACATCTTTTCTTGCGTAACGTACGTATTAGACTAGCCACTTTACAACGTACCGGTACATACCAGATATTTCATTTCTTTAATAGTTAACGCTATTCAAAAACTATTAAAAATTTTCGCGTTAAACAAGTTTTACTTATTTAAAAGAATTAATCGGCATTTAATTTATAACGATAATTGATAACGATAACAGATAATTACATACAGTATACTGTAAACAAAGGAGCTTCCGAGAAGTTATTCCTAATTTAAAAAAAAATATAAAAATAAACTTTCATACGTATAATAATAATCTCATTACTTACTATTTTAATACATCTTTAATAAGTTTGTGAGATGATTCTTATTTCTATGCGTAAAAAAAGTAAATGATTAAAGAATTAAATAATCGTTAATTGGATGAATTCAGTTTCAAATGATGATGATTTATTTATTTCGTATAAGTTAGGTTATGGTTTTCAAACAATCAAAAACTCTCCTTTTTGTTATCAAAGCTTTTATTTTGCCATAAATATTCATAATCAGCAACAGAAAAGAATAATCAAAGATATTTTTAAATTTGATTGAATCTACTTAAACTTTTCATGTAAAAGAATTTTTTTTTTTATATAAAAATGGTTCGATAACTAACAATAACACGATGAAACAATCTACCTGGTTATCATTTACTAATGTGGATCAAAATTTTCCCACAAGTTCATTAATTACTAATTAAAGATTGTTGAATCTAAAGAATTCGATATGTACTTTATGTATTATAACAATTTGCATTCTGAAAAATATTCTTAAATATCTTACGTATAACCATGTTCATTGGTTTAAAAAAAAAGTCCCACCCCTATTATATGTGAGAAAATAGAATATTATAACATACAGGTTAATAAATTTTTAGAAAACACTATGTATAAATAATAATAATAAATCTTGTATGAAAAAATGTAAAGATAATATGAAACGATGATTTGCAAGGGTTTTAAATGAACCAGTTCGAGAAATGAATGCATTTCTAAAAGTCCGTGCATTGCCTTACCGTTACGCGTTTTATTAAGTTTTGTAAATAGTTATCAAATAGTTATTACCGATACTTTCATATCATACCTTTTAAAGAGAAGCACTATTATTATAACTAATTATTATATAGTTAATGGTGTCATACATGCGTCAATGCTAGTTTTTTTTTGTTCAAATATTGCATAAAGTGAACAAAGTAAATATGCTATGTACAGTAACATGTGTTCTTAATGAAACCCGAGAAGAGATCGGTATTTCATACTGGTTCGAACAATGTGAATCCTTTTATATAATTTGCACCAATCATTTTTATAATAAATAATATGATCTAATAGTGTTCTAACTTTATTTTTTTCTGTTTATATATTCGGAAAAAAAATTAATAAACCATAAATTTGCAAAAAATTCTATACTTTTTCTTTACAACTTTTTTTCTTCAAAATTGTTGTATATTATCATTATATATAAAATTCTTCTTTCGTTAATTTATTACTAATATTTAAAAAACCTGGTTATTACGAAGGTAAAAGTTCTTTAAAATATCAACTTAAAAAAGATGGGAAAACCAAGTATGTAAATGTTTAAACATGGTATTAATATCGATATTATTTAAACGTATAATAATATTCTAATGTTTATTAAATTTACTATAAAAAAAAAAAAAAGAACGAAACCAAATGCAAATTGATAAACCGTTAACAACTAACAATATCATAGTAGATTCTTTATCATTTTCAATTAGCTCTCATTCACAAGGTTATTTTCTCATTTAGTATATATTATATCACTTAACATCTAACTTAGCTCTTCACTTAACATCTAACTCAATATCTCACTTATCTAATACACAATAAAAAAAAAAATAAAAGATCAACCTATTCTGTCACAAGCAACAGATGATAATTCCTCATCACGAACCCATCATTTACGCAAGTTCCACGGTGCAGACACTATTTTACGCAGAATTAAAAAGAAAGCACCAAACAAACATCTTACAGCTAAAGCGAAACGACGTCAAACAAAAGGATTAAGAAGAGCTTTAATGAACATCGAGAAGGAAGAAGTTAAAATTGCCAAAATAAGTGACAAAATTACTTTGAAAAAAAAGATTAAAAACATTTGGGGTTAAATTTAAATCTTTGTGATTTTTTGATTACTGGATTAGTACTTTTTTTTTTTTTTTTTTTTTTGACATTATAGTAACTCACTACAATTTATTAGATATATTCAATTTAAAAAACGCGTACATCAATATTAAATCTATGCTATATTGACTATATTAAATATCATTTATTTTCTAATTTTAAATGTTTTTTTTTTTCAATGAAGAGATTTAGTACGTTTTCGTCTTTCATTATTTTTAACATTGGGTTGATAACTAACTCGTTCAATTGGATTTGATTTCAATTTTAAATAAGCTAGAAATCGAGTTATATGTTAAATTATGAGATTATAGAGTTGAGTTATATTAATGATAGAATATAAATAGAATTGACAATTAATATTTAAGAATGTTATTAGTATGTGTTTTATATAAAATATATATAAATAGATAAATAATTATCTTTTGGAAAATACCTCTATCAAGAACCAATTCAATCATACATCGATTTCTTATCAATGCCAATAAAGGCCAAGTAGACTGTTCTCCCTTTAATATCCAATAACCCAATGATTCATATGTTGGGCTAGAAAACAGTTTTTTAAAGTCCTAATAGAGATTATTGCAATTATTAAAAAGTTTACTTTATTCAAATTTTTAATCTATTAATATTATTAATACTTACTGCAATAGTAATAGAAGGTACAATCGTAACGTCCCCTGATACTTTCTCGTCAACAATTCCACGAAGTCTTCGTGGTAGAATATGCATTTGTTCAAGCTATTTATCAATTAAAAAAATATTAATTTTAAACTTCTCAAAAATTATATCATGTAAAATAAAAATATTAACCTGTACTATTCGATGTTTTATTTCAGTTGATAAAAAATGTCCACATTTAACCAAAAAGCTAGTTCGTGTCGTTTGTTCTTTAGACATGAATGGAACCATGCAGGGATTTGCTTGAGACACAATAAAATGATTAACATTAAATAATTCTGAAAGTCTTGTTAGCGGTGATTCACTATTTTAAATTATTGATAGAATTAAGTTATTAATTAATAGTTTAATTAATAAATAAATTAAATTCTTTAAAATTACATGAACTAATTATTATTATTAACTTCATACCTTTCGGATGGAACCGCATCTGTCCACTTCTTAAATTTGATTTCTATACGTATTAAAAGATATACATTAATTTCCTAATACATTTATTTATTTATTATAATTACATGATAATAATAGAATTTTCTATACACCAGTAGCCCATGGAATTTGTTTGCCTGTTTTATCTTTTGCTATTAAATCGTAACTATCGTAGAGACCCATGATGGCAACTGATGCACAAGCTGCACTGGATATGAGCTAGGTTATTAAGTTTGTAACATTAATATCTTATATGTGTTATATACTATATAAAATTTACTAAACAATTTTATTAAATAAATTTACTTAATAATTTTATAAATACTTACAACATTAGGTGCTGTCAGATAGTTGAGCAATTGAGGAACTTCAAATTTCCTTGTGGATGAAACTGTAATATTGAGAACTCGCTTTGTTTTTTCGTATGCTTCCTATAAAAATTATGTTAAATTTAATAATATACGATTTAATTAAAATCCGTTTGCTTATTTAATAATATAAAATTTAATTAAAATCTATTTGCTTACTTCAAAAGTTAGATCTCCCACGTTCTTAAGAACACAATCTTCCAAAACCTTAATATCTAACAAATAACCTTGAAAAAAAAAAAAAAAAAAAAGAATAAACATATTTTTTGGTATCATAATAAAATTCCAACTTTCAGTTAAATAAAAAATCGATTTACCATGCTTAAGAAATCGTGCGACTTTTCTGTGAACATTGCCTCTAGTTCCAACTTTACTAAACGCCTCTAAATCAATCCCACCAGGCTGAAAGATTTTCTAATAATTATTAAATTTATAATCAAGTTATTAATTATTAAATTATTAATAATATTATTACCGAATTATTAATGACAAAATTTTCTTACCGGTAATTCATCATCTGTGTGAACGCACACAAGAGCAGCTATAAATGCACCAACTGCTGTACCACATATAACTCGCGGTAACAATTGATTTTCATGAAGGGCTTTCACAATTCCCAAATGACAAAGTCCTATAAAATAAATTAATATTTAAAATCATTTGAAAAAAAAAAAATTCAAGAATGAAAAAAATTAAAAATATATAATTCATTTCATAATATTACCAAAAGCTGCTCCACCATAAAGGACCAAAGCAGAACATCCGAAACTTTGACGAGTATCATTAATGAATTCAACTTTGGGATTTGGTGATTCAACTGAAACATCTGATTTATTTATATACTCGAGCTGTGTCGCAACCTCTTGAGTGTAATCTTCAATCAACTTTTTTGTTCTATAAAATTTATTGGTAATTAAAAAAATTATGAATTTTTTTTTAAAAAAAAAAAGAATTAATACAAACTTACCCCAAATATGATTGACCGAACAATCGAGGATCATTTATACCAGCCAAATTACGCAAAAGGCCTAAATTTTTATAAAAGAAAATTTAGTAAACAATATATTATAATTATGCATTTTAATAAAGTTTTTTTTTGATTTTTTTTTTTTTTTTTTAAAAGTATAAAATTTTAAGAACCTGCACCTGCTCTCAACATATAAATCATTGATGAGATATCGTTTTTTTCTCGAACTTTTATAAGATGATCTAATCGGCTCTGAATAAGATTATAATCATAATATGGGGATGCAGGATCACATTTCCATTTATCATTGTCTAAAATTTATTAAAAATCAATAAAAAATTTTTTTTTTTCTAAAAAAAAAAACCCCCAAAGATATACTATTCGAAATATACCTAAAAGACTTATAAAATAAATAAAATAAAATAAAAAAATTATAATTGATGTACTGTGTATGAATTAAAAAAAAAAATTAAAAATAAAAAAAAAAAATCTTATACTTACATATCTAATTGTTGTGCCTTTTCAAGCCATTCTTCATAATTTTGTGCTATCGCCAGTTCATCCCTAAGTTTTTCTTCTGGAGTTTTTTCATGTCTTAATCTCTATAATAAAAAAAAGACAGTTAAATTAAAGCAAATTATTTTAAAATATCATTTTTATATTTTTAAACATTGAAAATTTAAATTACTGTAAATATCTTTATCAAAGGAGAAGATACTCGATAGATCCAATAAACAACTGCAGTAACTATTAAAGTTAAGTAGTCAATAAATCGATTCTATAAAACAAAATTATAAAATAATTTTTTTAGAAAAAAACATTAAAAAAAAAAAAACACACTTTTAAAAGAAACAAAAATACTAACAAACATGATGCTCAAAATCATAACGATAAATTTTTTGAGTCTCCTTTTATAGTAAAATTTCCGATCGTAAGATTTTTCGATAACATGTGAATTTTTATGCATAATTGAAATTTGTGTAATTGTATTACTTTCTAAATTTGTTAAAAAAAATCTTTAAATCAGATAATTTCAAAAAAAAAAAAAGATAATCCTATCAACTTTTCTGATTATCAATATCATATTCATACGTATTAAAAAAAAATATCGATATGATTAAAATACAGTTATATAATTATACGTATTAACGGTGTTCGTTAATTTATCTTTTTTGTAAGTTTTCAAAAATAAAAAAAAACTTCATTTTTTTTTTTTTTTTTTGTTGGTACTTTTTCTTCCTAATATATAACCTATTTTGAATACTTTTTTTTTAAAAAAAAAGAAAAAACTTTTATTTCTAACCCAAAATTAAAGTTCTTGCATTACATGTAGTATTTGTTATTATATAGTCATTTGATTCATAAAGTGCATAAATATATCATTTTATTACTGATTCATATTGTATCTCATTTACTATGTTTAATTCATAAAAATTTTATTAAAAAAATTACGATTTCAACCTATCGTTATATAATTATACATAGGATTTTTGCTAGAAAAATGACTTTTCAAGTTATAATACTTATATCTTTATATACTTTTCTAGAAGTTTAACTTTAAATTAATAAATACATGCTTACTTATTTAATGGTAACGTTTAGCGGCATTTATTTTGAACTTTAATTTCGTTTTTTTTCATTTTATAAAAGTTTACAATTTTATTGGTTAATCAACACGTGATATTTATCATATGATTAATATTTACAATTTTATTGGCTAAACCTAATATGTATGATCGAGATCATCATTCCCTAATTTGGGACGGTCCTACCTGTGTCTCATGTCCCAGATAATGTCCCATGTCCGTGATAGTTGTCACATGTCATATGGTTTATCGAACAACCTGATTGCTATTCTTATTATAATTTTAATTGTCCGGAATGAAAAAAATTTGGCGAACATGTTCGGAACGTCCTGTTCCGGACTGTCTGCTGTCCGTATTTGTGTCTCATGACAACACTGTCTGAAGGTAAGTTGGGGAGTTACAGAAGAAAAAAACGGATGAAATTGAGGAAATTTTAGGTTGTTTACCACTTTGTTCAAATCCTTCCAGTATAATTATATTCATCATTTTCATTGTTTGTCTTGACTTCTTGTATGTTAAAATTTTGTTGTCTCTTTTGCTGTGCCATTTTTACGTTTAGTATTCTTCTGATTTGATCTTTGTTGATGCTATATTGAGATCCTTTACTTTTTGTACTTTCAGTATATCTATTTATTTGTCTTTCAATAG